CCAGCTCCCCTCTCCTTCTCCAAGCTAGTAGATGGGGAGCTGCTGGAGACTGTTCTGCCTCTTGCGATTTTGTACTGGACAAGACGTTAAAGAAGAACTATGAGGTGAGTGCTTTTCACTCACCTCATAGTTCTAGCCGACCTGTGACAATAAGACTGTCACAGGTCGGCTCAGTAGATCGGGAAGTGAGCGAACACATACCGGCGTTCGCTCACTTCTCGATCCTGTCACAGCTCTCTGCCGTGACAGGAGAGTGGCTGGATTCCCCCCTCCCCGCTCCGATCCTCCAGCGCTGACTGGCGGAACGGACGGGGAGGGGGCGGGTACAGCTGGCTCTGCCTCTAGATAGGCAGAGCCAGCTGTCAATCACGCAGCTGGGCGGATCCAGACATATTTGTCGGGATCCGCTTCAGCTGCGGCGTCTCAGTATACCGCGAGCTGTAGCTCACGGTATACTGAGCTTAGGGTGACGAGAGATTCAGAAATCAAAAGATCTCGCTGCACTCCTTACCGAAGAAAAAGACCCATACGGACGGGTGGGTGCTTGTAGTGGCCACAGATGGCACCGTGAGAAGATCAGAAAGAAAATAACGTCACCAGCACTCCAAAGTATAATCAAGCAATACTCCATTTATTGGTACATTGCCATTCAAATGCAAGCGCTTTCGGGGCCTCAGAGGGTCCCCCCATTCTGAGCCTGATGAAGGGGACCCTCTGAGGCCCTGAAAGCGCTTGCATTTGAATGGCAATGTACCAATAAATGGTCTATTGCGTGATTATACTTTGGAGTGCTGGTGACGTTATTTTCTTCCTTAGGGTGACGAGAGGACGCTAGTTTGTGTCCTCCCATTACCCTAAGGAGAACTATGGTTAAAAGCCCTAACCCCATAGTTCTCCTTTAAGGGAAGCACAGTTAAAAGATATGGAGCCAACTGTTTTGAAGTATGATGACTGTAAGTGCTCGGACAAAAATAAAAGATATAATTTGCTGGGGAATATATGTTTGTTTGATCTGAAATCATTGTTGAAAAAAAGTTTGAGAGTTTAATATTACTTGTAGATATAGGAATACATTTACAGTCAAGATTTTGTTTGTGGGAGGTGAGCACATAATGTAGCTCTGCTGATTCAGGGCTGATATTTTTCCTTCCCAATGTATCAATTTCCATTATGCAACATTCCTGTCCTCTGGGGAAAGGTCAGGAGTGATGTTTCCTGTGAAGAGTTCAGTTTGAATTGTTCTTCATGTCAACAGCTGTGTTGATGTTTTTTGGCATGAAGCCATAGGTAGAACCACGGCTATATGCTGACAAGAATCATTTTAGTGTAAAGTAGAACACCGGTTGATTTCACTTACCCCCTCTTACTGGAGGAGAACATTATTTCTAGGTAACATTACACATACATTTTAACAAAAATAACAGCAAAATACACAATGTAGAAAATGTTTTAAAAACCCAAGCGAGATGAAATACTGTATATGTTTTGTTATTTGTTTAAGAAAAAATCAAGTTGTCTCTGTGTTCCTGTACCACTGCTTTAAAGTGGACCTGAAGCCAAACCCTTTTTTAGTTTTGGATAGAGCAGAGAGGGATTAGAACCCATCAGGTTTGTATTGCTGTCTGTGTCACTGTTAAGGTGCTCATACACTGCTCGATTCTCGTACGAGAATCGAGCAGTGTGAACGAAGACGTGCGACCGTTTCTACTGTACGGTCGCACGTCTTTTGTCGAACCAACATGCTCGAAAAACCCGCCGAGAATCGTACGATTGTCGGCGGGTTTCTAGCCTACTCGTCTGATAGCTGAGGAACGGGCCGGTGTGCGCACGCGCACACTGCCCGTTCTGCATTGCGGTCATCGGAAGCCCGCCCCTCAGCGGGTCGGGCTTTCGATGATCGCAAGTACGATCTGCCCGTCCAAGGTGGGCAGATCGTACGAGCTTTCAATAAGCATACGACCATCGCAAGACAAAAGTCTTGCGATGGTCGTAAGGTGTATGGGCACCTTTAGGGAGCTTAACCCTATTTGTCCCAGTGACCATTGTCACTGAAAGTGAACAAAAATCACACATGTTGTGTTGTCATCAGAACAGGAATAGATGGGAGATCTTTGAATGGGGAGACTAGTTCTAATGACCCTAATGGCCACCAGGGATTTCCAAATTGCGGTGGTGTGCACTTCATGCAGTCCTTTTTTCAGTGCAGTGGCTCATGACGAGGCAGAACCGCATCGCACTGCGCTGTGCCCGTAGAACTTAAAGGGTTATTAAAGGAGAGCTATGGGGTCAAGGCTTTTCCCCATAGTTCTCCTAAGGGTAACGGGAGGGCACAAACTAGCGTCCTCCCGTTACTCAAAGCTTAGTATACCGCAAGCTGCTGAGACGCTGCAGCCGGAACAGATCCCGACAATTCTGTCTGGATCCACCCAGCTGCATGAGTGACAGCTGGCTCTGCCTATCTGAAGAGTCTCGGGCGGCCGCAAAGGATCTTTGGGCGGGCACATGCGCACTACAGATGTTCGGCCGGGAGACGGGGAGAGACACAAGGTAAGTCTATGTAGCAGCATGCACCCGCATTGACTCCATGGGACATTAGAGAAGAGGAGGACAGAGGAGTCGGCGCTGGATCGGAGACCTGCACCAGCGCTGGAGGGACATCTGAAAAGGACAGGAAAGAAGATCGGATTAAGAGGCATCAATTAAAGTGTTACTGAAAAATGGCCTGGATGGGAAGGGGGTTTAACACCCCGGATGTCAACTGGTTAAAACACTTACCTTAAATGATGTCTATTAATCCGATCTTCTTCTTTCCTGTAGTTTTCAGCCTTCTTTCCAGCGCTGCTGCGGGTCTCTGATCCAGCGCTGACTCCTCTGTCCTTGCTGGTACTTCCTGTCCCACAGTGTCAGCATGCGGGTGCACGCGTCCATATACTTACCTTCCTTGTGTCTCTCCCCGTCTCCCGGCCAAAAATCCGAACTGTGCATGCGCCTGCCCCAAGATGCTTTGCGGCCGCCCCAGCACTTTCGGATTTTCGGACTAGCAGTAGATATATGAAAAAAAAAAACGAAACCCTTTTAGAAACCCTTTAAGGTAAGTCCCTACAGCAGGATTGGGAAGGGTGAATTTTTTTTTTACTTTAATGTCACTTGTGAGATATCAATAAAGTTCTAACAAAAAAAAGTTAACAGTGTAAGGCTCTGGGGTCGTGCATAGGCACTGTGACAGCTGACACACACCAGCAGCTGTGCATTGTATATTCCTGCCTGGGAGCCACAGGCACTGTGTACAGCTGTCCATACAAACAAATAGCTGTGGGCGGGTATACATTGGTGCTTCAGTAAACACACGCATACGTAAAAGACGTATGCCCCTGGATGCACACTGTCTGTGTCTGAGGTTGTACGTCTGTACTCACATGTTTATGCATGTACCAGCGTATACCCGCCTATACCCATTGATTTGTATGGGCAGCTGCACCAGACATCCCAACTCTCCCGGACGCTCCGGGAGTCTCCCGCTATTAGATATCGGCTCCCGGGAGAGAAACACTTCCTCCCGGAAAGGTTTAATCTGCTCGATTAAACCTTTCCCTGCGATCGTTTTTTTTTTTACATCAGGAGCCGCGGCCTGACCGTCAGTCAGAAAAGGCATACGAATGCTTAGCTAGATTCCTATTGGCTATTGCACCTTGCAATAGCCTAAGCAAACTAGCTAATGCACCCGCCCACTGTTGTCAATCAGCAGAGGGGGACCTGAATTTTTCTATCAGGTCCTCTTCTGGTGATTGAAAGCAGCAGAGGGCGGGTGCAATAGCCAGTGTGCTATTGGCTATTGCAAAGTGAAATAGCCAATAGGAATCTAGCTATGCATTCTTATGCCTTTTTTTTTTTTTCTGACGACTGCAAATGTCAGAATACTAAAAAAAAAAGCAAAAAAAAAAAAAAAGCCTGCAGATAGCAAAGAAGCTATTGCTTCCTGTGCTATCTGAAAGAAGCAATTTCAGGGAGGTGTCCCTATCATTTCAGTGTGCTCTCTCCCAGCCCTCCCTACGCGGATGGGAAGTTCCAGGGCAGGGAAATACACCTGAATGTGTGCAATGTATTTTACACATATAAAGAGTACTATCTTGCAAAATACGGGTCACTTTGCACCAATGCAGGTGAGAAAACCGGCCAGGTATCTGATAAGAGCAGTGAAGGGAGATTTGTACATGATTCCCTAGATTTTAGGGCCTGTTCACATGAGATCAGGTCCTGATCAGCAGACGTGGAGCTGCTGATGCAGTGCGTTTTTGATGCGTTTTCGGTCCGGATGCTGACAGTTCATTTTTTTAGCCAAGGGGCTGTCAGTATGCAGATTCAGCCTCTGAGGTCACTTCCGCCCTCTCGGAACATCTACTTCCCTTTGTGTATGTAAAGCTGGTGATCAGACATGTATCACATATTTGCAGGCATGTTGATGGTGCTAGTTACAGCAATTTGCAGAGAACGAGCCCGCAGGAGACGTCGTTATTGGGTACACCCAATCTTGAGGCTCCGGGACTCCAAGGGTCAGTTCTGGAGTTTGTATGAGGATTTGCGAGGTCACCCGGATACATTTTTTTCCTTTACTCGTATGTCCATGGCAAGGTAATGGGCATGTTCCAAATGTTTGCAGTTCATGTCGTTACCTCTACCCCAACCTGTCTGTCTATCGTTGATAACATCATGAGCAAGAATACCATTTTTTTTCCTTAGCTGCATTGCGTTGCGTTTCCGTTCCATTTTCGTTGCGTTTCATGCGCGTTCGTGCGTTTCCGGACCGGACAGAATGTGACATGCAGTATTTTTTCTGTCGTAAACGGAACGGACTGCGTACGTGAGAACTGTAGCCCATAAAACACATAGGGATACATTGGGACGCATTTTGAGTGCAGCAGCGTACGGATCCGGTCAGCACACAAAACGGACGTGGTGTGAACAGGCCCTTAGGATGAGTCAACATGTACTTCTTTCTGTAGTTCTAGCCATGTGAGACACCGCTCCGCCTGTCCCATGCACCGTCCGGGACACCCACTTAGCAGAGCTGTGCTCTATGTCAATATTTGTCCAGGTGACACCAGCCGCCCCCGCTGCGTCATGACGCCACAGCTCGTCTAGTGGACGCCCGCTGGCCCCGCCCCCTATCTGGTCCTTTCGCTGAGAGACATTACCCAGCATTCCGCGGGAGCGGCTGGCTGCCAGGTAGATCGCGGTGCACTGAGGGGGAAACGAGAAGAAACGTGCAGGGCTTTGCAGGTTACCAGAGGACGGCTGCTCAGGGCTGAGTGTGCCGGGACTACAGCATGAACAGCATCAAGAACGTTCCGTCCCGGGTGCTGAGCCGGCGCAGCGGACACGGCTTGGAGGCGGAGAGGGAGCAGTTTGACAGGAATCAGGTAAGAGAGACATGGAGGTGACAGATGGGTGTGTAAGTGGCTAGACCACGTCAGACATGAACAGGGCAATGAGAACGGCGGAAGGCAGGAGAGCAGGGCACCATGGAGCGCTGGGTATTGGAGAGCAGGTGAAGGCAGGAGAGCAGGGCACCATGAAGAGTTCTGTGCTGGACTGTACAGGGGGCAGGATAGCCAGGCACCATGGAGGGCTCTGCACTGGAGAGCAGATGAAGGCAGAATAGCAGGGCACCATGGAGAGTTCTCTGCTGGATAGTCAGGCACCATGGAGTCAGGCACCATGGAGGTAAAGACAGGATAGCCTGGCACCATGGAGGGCTCTGTTCCGGACTGTACAGGGGGCAGGATAGCCAGGTACCACGGAGGTAAAGACAAGATAGCCTGGCACCATGGAGGACTCTGTACTGTAGAACAGGTGAAGGCAGGATAACTGGGCACCATAGAGGATTCTGTACAGGAGAACGGGTGAAGGCATGATAGCTGGGCACCATAGAGGATTCTGTACTGGACAACAGGTGAAGGCAGGATAGCAGGGCACCATGGAGAGTTCTGTGCTGGACTTAAAGGGGGGAGGATAGCCAGGCACCATGGAGGTAAAGACAGGATAGCCTGGCACCATGGAGGGCTCTGTTCCGGAGAGTTCTGTGCTGGACTGTACAGGGGGCAGGATAGCCAGGTACTACGGAGGTAAAGACAAGATAGCCTGGCACCATGGAGGACTCTGTACTGTAGAACAGGTGAAGACAGAATAGCTGGGCGCTATGGAGCGCTCTGTTCTGGAGAACCGGTGAAGGCAGCATAGCTGGGCACCATGGAGGACTCTGTACTGTAGAACAGGTGAAGGCAGGATAGCTGGGCACCATGGAGGATTCTGTACAGGAGAACAGATGAAGACAGAATAGCTGGGCACTATGGAGCGCTCTGTTCTGGAGAACAGGTGAAGACAGGATAACTGGGCACCATGGAGGACTCTGTACTGGAGAATAGGTGAAGGCAAGGCAAGATAGCTGGGCACCATGGAGGACTCTGTACTGGAGAACAGGCGAAGGCAGGATAGCTGGGCACCATGGAGGACTCTGTACAGGAGAACAGGTGAAGGCAGGATAGCTGGGCGCCATGGAGGACTCTGTACAGGAGAACAGGTGAAGGCATGATAGCTGGGCACCATGGAGGACTCTGTACAGGAGAACAGGTGAAGGCAGGATAGCTGGGCGCCATGGAGGACTCTGTACTGGAGAACAGGCGAAGGCATGATAGCTGGGCACCATGGAGGGCTCTGTACTGGACAACAGGTGAAGGCAGGATAGCTGGGCACCATGGAGGACTCTGTATTGGAGAACAGGTGAAGGCAGGATATCCAGGCAGCATGCAGGGCTCTCTAGTGGAGGGAGAACAGGTGAAGGCAGGAAAGCAGGGCATCATGGAGGGCTCTGTACTGCAGAACAGGTGAAGGCAGGAAAGCAGGGCACCATGGAGGGCACAGTACTGGGCGGTGCAGGAGAACAGGTTAAGGCAGCATAGCCACGCACCAGGGTTGGCGCTCTACCTCAAATAGGATTGCATGTGGAGTCTGGATTTTTAGCATTTAAAGGGATTTGTTGTAAAGTAACCTGAAAAAACACAATTCTTTTCGGGGTCTGTCATATTAGATCATCTGTTGTCTTGATGGATTTGGAGCAAGAATCAATTATTAGTAGTACCTAATACAGCTCCCCATGGACCGTTCCCATTTATTTGTATGTTAACAATAGGTAATGGTATTGGGTGGTATTGGGGAAGGGGGGTTGTTTGGGGATTTTGTTGTTTGAACGCATAAAGAAAAAACGTACCCTTGCATGAATAGGAGGAAAGAAGGAAGTTGTAACAGATGGGTCAAGATGAGGGGAAGGTGAACAGGGAAGGTTGCTGAAGTCAGGGTGGTTCTCCCTCTGTTGTAAATGGAGAGAATATATTCCTATTTATCGTTTATAACTCAGTTCCGAACTACTCATGAAATTCTGTTAAGAACATTATTACAATTCCAAAAAATGGCTGGAAAATTATTTCCAGTGATAGAAAATAACCCTTATACCACACAGTCTTGTGACGGTCCATTAGTATTATCCTAGCCCTGAGCCTACTCCTAGTGAAGAGTAACTTCAAGTGTTTTCTTTCTAAGAAATAGCAAGTCTTACTGCCATTGGAGGGGGTATTGAAGGGTGTTTTTCAGATAGAACAGTGGCTATAGAAGTCCATGCTGATGGAATACAGATGGGCTTTTTTATACTTGTTTGGTGGCTGAAACAGCTGATACCAAACACATTGTTTTGCACTTTTCCAAATCAATCTGAATGTTTTTTAGAGTTGTTCAATCTGGTGCATATTGATGCATATATATTACAGTATCAGAGCCAGTAAGTTCCCCAGGAGTCAGGGAATGGCAGCTTGCTTCATAGGCTTTTCACCTAGATGTTTAGCTTTGAAGCAGATTCTTTTGGAAATTTAATATGAACATATTGTGACATATTGTAAAGATTTGTCCGTTTCATTTTGTTCTTTCATTGCCCGACTTGTATTTATCCCTGGGCAACATTCTTTATGGTCTTTGTCATAAGTTGTGACATCGCACTGATTTGCATACAGTTCCATCCGTGAAGAAGCTTTGCAATGTATACTAAGCTGCCTATTTTCAATAAATGCAGATGACCACGTGCCTAAATGTTATGGAAATGGTGAGCTAATAAGTGGTTAGTGGAAGAGTGGAACCCCATTTAAGAATTGCCCTAGGAAAATCACTTAAAAATGTTGCAGCATATCTCTGAGTCAATATAAACCCAATCACTATAATTACACAAGTTCTTTATATGTTAATGTCAAAAGTCATTTTCCTGCCACGTCACTTCCTGTTATGGGGGGACAACTGTAGCAAAGCTGACACAAATGCGCAGGCATGGTCCACCATTTTCACTATCACAATGCCGACCCAGACCAATCAGACCAATGATGTGCAGTTTGTGCTAGAGGGAGTGCTGGTAGACAAATGCCCGGAGCAGATCAGTAGCACTTTTATGCAGAAAATGAGCGAAAAGGGTGAAAACTTTATTTTCCAAAATGAAAAGACATGACAGTTGATTGATACGTAAAGCTCAGTTTGCAAATCTGTGAAAGCGTAGTTTACCTTTTCTACCATGTTTCATGTTACACACACATTTAAGGCTCATTCACACCACATCCAGATTACCTCCAGACCAGACTGTTTCCAGACCCAAAATGCATCCCAATGTATCCCTATGCTATTTCTGGCCTCTGTTCACACCAGCGCAGTCTGTTCCAGACCAGAAAAATAGTGCACGTTTCGTCTGGTCTGGAATGCACAGGAACGCATAGAAACGCATGGAACGCACTGGAACATACCTGAAGGCCCATTTTAAGCTAAAAAAAACAACTAAATTACGGCTCCGGAACGTGGCAAAATCGCGATGAACTGCATTCTAGATCTGCCCCGGAAAATAGTTTGAAACTGCCGCAGTTCCAATGCATTCCAGACCAGACAAAATGAGACAAGCAGTATTTTTCTGGTGTGGTCTGGAACAGACTGCGCTGGTGTGAACAGAGTCTAGAAATAGCATAGGGATACAATAGGATGCATTTTGGGCCCGGAAACAATCTGGTCTGGAGATGATGTGGTGTGAATGGGCCCTTATGGTATGACATGAAACACGGTAACATTTCCAAACCCCTCACCCTCAAACCTTACCCCATTGTTTATTGAATTGGGGGGTGTTTCTTTTGGTAGACATGTTGATTTTGTAATTTAGCATGGCTCTCTGTCTTTGCTGCTGCATCATCCTTTCACAGATCCATTCATAGGGATCTGTAAATGGAAAGACTAGAAATCTCATCTACCGTCGTAGATTTCAATGAACAAGTGCAGTGATGCCACCGCACTTGCAGTCCATTGTTTACGTCCTCTGGCTGGTATGTAAACGATGCAGGAGGCTGTGCATTGAACCCATGATGCACTGCTCACGGTTGCAGTGCTCTGCTGTGGACTATACCTTTAACACAAGAGGAAGGCTCTCTAATTTAGTCATATGACTGTAATTTTTAAATCTCATTGGTCTGAGCTGATATGTCACCTTTCTGAAAAGCAGTATAGTTATCCTGGTGTGTTAGCTTTGTAAATTGAGCCTATAGAGCTTTACATTAAAAGTCACTCACTTAGGGCTTACATCATCTTTCCAGAGTCATTCCACCAATAACTGCTATTGTAGCTCGACCTAGGTGTTCAGGTATCCAATAGCTTTATTTTTCGGGTCTCCTGAACATCACTTATGTAGATTGATCCTTTAACTTACACTCTAAATAAGGGCCACATACATTTTTATGATTTACTGTGCTGTACATGCATTTGTAGGGTAAACATTTGAAATGGTGAGTCATCTGTTTTATGTACCAGATATAATTGTGGCTTTAATTATGTCTGGTATATTTCAATAGTCTAGTAATTGTCTGTTTGGGTTCTTTAGCACACACACGTCTATGACACGTCTTGCTAGCTGGCACAGTGCTCTGTGGTGCCCACATTGTCTGATGGAGGGAAATAATCTAACATGACAAGAACAAACAAACCACGTATTACTTAGTCCATTGCTTGCTCCCAGTAGCCTGGCATACCATATAAAGTTGGCTTTTATGATGCATAGTCATATGGAATGCCCAGAT